TGTATAAAAATTAGTCAAAGTTTTTTAGCTTAGAAATTAATTGTTGTAAAATGCAACTATGTATTGGCAGTATTTGGTAAAAATAATTAGTATAATAAGTTGTTTAGTAATATTAATATAGTTGATAAATAAGAATTTTGTTATATAGCTAAAATAATCTTTAAATGTAATATTAGTGTTTTATTTGAATAGCATAATAGTTTTTGTGTTGTAAAGTGTAAATAATGTTGTGTTAGATTATTAATATCAGTATAGAAGAATTTTGAATTAAAAACTTTAATAGCAGTATACTGAGATATCTTGAGTATAATTATGCATTGCTAGTTAGCAACTATGCAAGTGTGTTTGCAGTTTAAATAGTTTGAGATTAGGGCTATATATTGAAGCTCTTATAGTGGAAAATGATAGTGTTTAGTATATATTGTATTATTTGAATTAGTAATTTATTAAATTTTTTCTATAGTCTAAGTATTATTAACTTTTTCAAGAATCTATATGCTTCTTTTTAATGTTGTAAAGTTTGTAAAAAATAGATTAGAAGTAATATTAGAGATAAATGGTATTGCAAATATATAAAATATGTTGTGTAATTTATAGAACTATTTTAAAATTCTGCCTCTAAGTATTTTAAGTGTTTTATATGCAATGCATTTCCATAAAAGTAGTTAAGTATTTGTGTAATTAATAAGTTGTTCAATAGCATAGATGTTTACTTTATTAGTTAGTAATTTAATATATGTTAGTTTGTTACAAAATTTAATTAATATATTAATTAGAATAACTTTGTATATAATTGGTATACATCAAGAATTGGGAGCTTACAGATTTGAATATTGAGCTAATGTGCTGTTTAAATAATTTAAGCTATAAGTATATTATAAAACTTAGTAGATAATATGTAGTTAGATAAAAGTAAAATATTCTTAAATAAAAGTATAATATTTTGAAGGTGTTATATTACAATTTTGATAAATAGAGCTATTAAAAAATTGTTTAATTGCATGTGAAGTAATAAAATATAATTTTATATTTGGATATCTAATAAACTATGAAGGTTGCAGATTTGATGATAAAGTATAGTAGAGTTTGAAATAGTTAAAGTAAGTCCAGTTATGTGTTTTACAACTTGTATATATAAATTAGTTATGTATATATAAAATTTAATATTAATTTTAAATATTTGTACTATATAAGATCTAAATTTGTAGCCTATTTGTTAAGTTTCTATTTTTTTATAGACAAGATTAATATTTTAAATTTGACTAAAATAATATTTTATAAATAAAAAAATTAAAACTTATGATTAGATATGAAGTTTTATAAAAGTTTAAATAAAAATATATATTAGATTTAAAAAATTTTTTAAAATAAAACTAGTATATAATATATAATACTACTATAATAAGAAATATAAAAAATATTATTAATATTTATAAAAAAATAACTTTTTTTTTATTTTTTAATATTAAGATAAGTATATGTAACCTAGAATTTTATTGATAGTATATATTAACTAGCATCTGTTAACATAACAAACACAGATCAATTATAAAAAGAATGCACAACTAGCTACTTGTACAACTTTAGTTATTGTTTAATTTAAGTAGTTTGCTTAAAGATTCTATACTAGTTTCTGTACTTAGAACCTACCTGTAGGCTCTCTATTTAAACACTTAATTCTATATTTACCACATTTTACTAATAACTTTGGCAACTAGTGAAGATATGCCATAGTTACTAAGTCATGCTTAACTTTGTACTAACTTACTAGAGCATTCTGTATCCTATATTTATAGCTTATCTGATATTATTTTGGCCTAAACTATCACTTACAGTTAGGACTAACTATTAAACTGCTATACCTTGTAAGATTTACCTAAAACTCCAGTACTTATTTTTCTAATATCTACTTTATCATTTTCTACTAACTGCTACTCAGAACTAACAGAACTTTCTAAACTTCTAATCTAAATAGCCTGATATAGTATACCTTAGTATTCTTTTTCTTTAGTAATTCTAATAACCTGGTTGGTCATATGCTCTTCTACACATCTTGTTATACAGTTTATTTATCTATTTCTTTAGAATGTTTTATAAACTTTTATTAGTCCAACAGTACTGTTAAAAGTTTTGTACTATTTTTTTATTTGAAATTTTCAAGTGAGTTTTTGATTTTTCAGTTCCTTTACTTTTTGCATCCAGTGATCTTATCATGGGTTTGCACTAAAGTCTTATGCAATACAAGTTATTAATATTTTTCTATATAAGTGTAGCATTACACTTTGTATAAAAGCCTCAAGCTTCTATTCGAAATAGTACAACTGAAGGTTAAGATATACTAATTTAATTAATTAACAGTGACAGTTATTATAACATAGTAAATTTTTCAAAATTTATCATCTATAAGATTTAAACTCTAGACCTGCTACTTAAAGGTTGACAACTTAATCATTTCACTAGATTACTACATTTCTGTAAAAAAAAAACTTTATTTAATACAAAAAACCTAAAATAAATATAATATGAAATTTATTTTTATTTTAATAAAATTTAATTTAAAATAAATAGTTTTAAGATTTAATAGAAAATTAAGTTTGTTTTTATATTACAAAAAAAGCTATTTAAATTTAAAAATTTTAAACAGAAAATTTAAAAGTAGGTTTCAAATATAGTAATTAGAAATAATTTAAAATAGAATAATTTTTTTTAATAAGTATTTGTTATTAACAACTACTGCCTTTATTATGTTTTTAATTATAGTTATATAATATATATAAAGTAAGTATGCTACTAGTAATACATGCAACTTTTGGTTATCTATTTAGGTAGTTTATTTATAGGTTTTATATTAGCTACCATATCTGTAATCTGTTAGAAAATTATTTAATTAAATACTCTAATTTCTATATTATATCTAATAGATAATATATAAGTTCTCATATATCTAAGTGCTGTCTAACTAACACTTATTATTCTTTCTGTACATTTGCCAAACTGTTATATATTTTAAATATATCATTTAACTATTGAACTCTAGAAACCTTTTTGTTAGCTAGTTTATTTATTTTTTATAAAACATTAATAGGGTTCACTTTTGTAAAATTTATCAAAATCTTAGTACCAACTTTATAGCATATTTCTAATACTTATAATATACTTTTACTTTGTTATTTAACTTTTAATCCAGATAGTTTAGTAGAACTATAATATGTCTCTGATATATTAAGTCCAATCTAATATTTTTTTCATCAGTTTGAAACTTCTAGTAGGCCAGTTAGTGATATTTTTAACTTAAAAGTTCATGTCTAGCTAATTCTTTACTATTGGTATTTATTTTCTAGGTTTAGTATTTGCAATAGTATTGTCAAAGATCTGTGTTATTTCTTTACTCAAGTCTTTTTAGATAATTTTAGTTTTATTCAGTTTTACAGATTTATACAGCTATAAAAACTTTTCTTATTTGCACTGCCTAATACTAGTTTGTATTCTTTTGTATAACTAAAATTATATAGATGCTTTTTGATCTGTAAGTCATATTAGTGTAATTGTAGTTACAGATATCTTATCCTAATTAATTAACAAAATGCTGTTGTTGCAATATAGATATATTTTTCCAAATTTTGTTTCTAGTAAGTTTTGAACTTACAATTTGCTACTTGAAGGGTGATACACATTTAATTTACTAAGTCACCACACTTCCAAATAGAATATTTAAATAAATAATAACTAAAGTTGTACAGATGACTAATTGTAGACTTATTAATATGTAAAATATAATATTTTTCTTTTATATTAGTAGAAATTAACAAAACATTTAATAAAAACTATAAGACCAAAAAATTCTCTTTATTAACTAAAAAAAAAATATTTAATATAAAGTATTTATTTAGTAATATAAAAATATCTAAACAAAATATAAAATATATTTAATAATTATTTAAACTAAATTTATATTAAAAATAAACTAAAAACTTTGATCCTAAAGAAAAAATATATATATTTTTGAATTAAAGTTTCTGATTTTGATAAGTAATATTTTTATTTAAGTTATATAATTATAAATGCTTCTAGAAACTTTTTTATATAGAAAGTTACAACTAAAAATATGCATTTTAATGTTTAATTTAAGTATTTATCTATATATTACTATACAAGTTTTATACTAGATATTATAACTGTAAGTCAACTATAGATCTTGTCTATTTAAACTTTTGTTTATATAATTTATTTTATATTATAATAATATCTTTAAGACTAAACTTGTCTAAAGTACTCAATGCATATCAATATTTTTAAAACTATTTTATTCTCAATAAAAAACTTACTAGAACCTTTTATATCTTACATACATTTAATTTAATTTTATATAATATGCTATAACTAAGCTAATACTTGCAATTATATTATTTGTTTGTTATATTGCATTATTTCTATACTTATAAACTCTACAATAGTGAAATGTTTATAATTATATCTTCAACACTCAGACAATTATAACAAAATGAATATATTCAAATTAGAAAAAAATATCATAATCATAAATATTGTATTCAGAATAGCAGGATCTAGATTACAAATAGGCAGATTAATATAATTGTAATAGAATAAAACAAAATAAACCAAATAAAACAAAATGCTTACTTAATTAAATGAAATCTGTAAAATATAAGTAAATAGTAAAATGATGAAAAAATATATGTTAAATCTAAAAATAGACAAAATTTGCTAGTAATAATAAAAATATATAAAAACAAACTAAAATTTTAATAAAATACTTATCTTTTATATCCTCAATTATAATTAAAAAAATCTAACATCTTTATAGTTATCAATTATTAAGTTATAAATTTGTAGTAGTTAGTACTTATTAAATAAAATATTAAAAAACAAAAACAGTAAAAAAAGATAAAGTTCTGCTCAATAAATCATAATCCATATCTTAAAACCTTATTACTTTAAATTTATATTATCTTATTTGTTGAAATAACAGACTTACTAATTTATCTGCTTCACTATTATTTTAAAGTCTTTTTCATATCTTCTAGCAAGTCCTCTTATTTAAAATTAATAAAACTCTTTAAACTACTAATTTAGATAGACTAGTAAGCCTGTGATCAGTTCTTTAGTATGCTTTGTATTCTTTTTCTCTGGTGAATTATAGTAATTTGATTAGTATATATATTTTTCTCATATGACTATTATTTAATTTATTCCCCTATTTCTTTAAAAGATAATCATAAGTGTTCATTGTTTAAAATAGTATGACCTAGGATTACAAATATGTCAATTCAACTGATTATCAAAAGAAAGAATGTTGTAACACAGATATAATTTTTAAATTTTGTTATAGGTAAAATTTGAATACTAGACATGTACTTGAGAATTGACAACTTAGTCACTACATCAAGTCATTACACTCATCACTACACCAAGTCAGCACACTTTAGAAAAAATAATTTTTTACTTTTGTTATATTTAAATATTGAACATAAATTTTAAATTAATTGCATTTTAACTCTAAAGTTTTAATATAAATAAAAATATTTTTTTTAATAGATAATAATGCTAGAATGTTTAGTGGATCACATTTTTGTTTTCACAACTATATGTTTTCTTCTTTATAAGAAAATATATATTCGCGAAGATAAAAATACCTATATCTCGTGATTCATTTGGCCGATTTAAACATTTAAGCCATCATTATAATCGCAAGACTCTCCTCTATAACTTTACTTAGAAGTCAAAAGCGGTTTGCTTAGTAAAGAAAAGAGCTTCCTTTGGAAAACACCAGATTTCAAACACATGTCAAAAACAATAGTAACTTTCTCGACTATTTACTATGTTATTTCACTGGTTCTTATGTGGATTACGAATTAACTTGTATAACTCTTTGATTTTGGTTGAGCTTGGCAAATAACCTTAAAAACACGAAAGTTGGGTTTTCCTCGCATTACTCATATTTAAGAATCATAATGACATTTATTAATTAAAAAGCATTTTCATTTGATAGGAAAACTTCCAGAATTCAGCTAAGTATTAATAAACTAGAAGGTTATAACTTTGAAATTTCACTTAAGACTATATTATTTAGGTACAGTCAAGTGAAATCCAGGAGCCTAAATACTGATCACAATAAGTTAATATTCTATAGTTAGGCTTCCCGGTTTTCATTTGGCGTTAATAAGGAATTTTGTTGTAATTTCCTTTTTTGAATTCGATGCCATCCTTAGGTGACATTGATATTTTAAAGTTAATTTTATTTTATTAAGTCAACATGAGAATATATAGGGTATTTCATATTAAAAAAACTCATTTTGACATATAAACAATTTTGAGTAAATCGAATTTAACTAGTCATCATATTGAAACATATATTGTAATCGTAAAACGGCGAGTCAGTCGCTAATCGGACGGGTTCCTCGTGTAACCACCTGGGATGGTTAATACCGGTCGAAAGAGGTGTGTTAGATTTGGCGAGTGGTCAACAAGGTTTTGGTCGGGTCTACTGAATCGTAGGGGGGTTACGGGTTGGTTATTGGGCACGTGTACTGGCGTACTTTATGTAATTTATCAGTTAGGGACAGATTATGTTATAACGATTACTTCTAATAAAGACTATTCGGTTTATTGATTTACAAGTGATTTATTATCAACGATTTTTATGAGAAGTATGTACTATATATGAGTTGCCAAGGGGAAGTTATCATTCCCGAAGGGCCTTTCGGCCTTTATTTATAATTGTCTATTTCTATTTACATTCCGCGATGCATACGACCGATCTCTGCTATCCGTCATATCCGTCATATGCGACCGATGCGACTGATGCGACCGATCTTTTTCCTAATCGGGATATAAACCCCCAAGCGGTCAGGGTAACGTTTTACTTTAAGTTCACATTGTGAATCTTTTTATTAAATAAAACTCAAATCATAAATATAAAATATAAACAAAAATTATATCAGACTGTAATAAAATTCACTGTTCATTTTTTTCTGAATTGGCTATTTTTTTTTTTTGAGCGGCATCTAGAACTAAACGACCCATTTCGTCTATATAAAAGAACGATCCGCTAATCATTCGATTTGATCAATATTTCTCAGAACTCTAATCAGGATTTCATAGAATACTAACCAGGATCTTTAGTAGCAAATATATCAAGGTCTTCAGTAGAAAGTTGATCGAACATCTCAAGCAGCTTCTTAGAAATTTGCTCGTCGTTGTTTTTATTAGATTCTAATTCTAATTAATATATTTTTTATATTTAATAATAAGTAAATGTTAAAAAATAGTAATGTTTATTGAAAAAATTAATTTAATGTAATATAATTCTCACTTTTCTTACTGTATGGTATTTGACCAATATCTGTACCAGAAAAACACTTTTCACCTGATATTATCTTTTCTTGATATATTAATTCATATACCTGTCCAATTTCTGGTCGTAATTTAGAATTCCCATTCCAGCAATTTGTATAAAGCTCAATATAGGAATTGGTGGTCCCATTTATTGGGGTTTCCCGCTTTCCTTTAATTATTTGGAGTGAAATTGAAACGAGATGACAATTGTTAAACGCAAATGGAGGCCGGCCATTGCTTGTGATTTCCCACATAACGACGCCAAGACTATATATATCAGAACTTTTATCAGGTGCCTCATTATTATCCTTTAATCTCTTAGGGTCTACAAATGGTACGCATCCTGTTAACTTTTGCTTTGATTTACTATTACGAGGAAGAACTTTTGAAACTCCAAAATCCGTAATAATGGCCTTAACGCTATCACCATCCTTTTGAATAACCACATTTTTAGTATGCTAAGATAAAATAAATTTATTAATTATGCTTTAAACAATGTTAATTGACTGTTGCAGAATGGTATCTTACTAAGTCACGATGTAAAATTCCATTTGTATGCAAAAAATATAGGCCACAGGTAATCTGCCTTGCAATTTTGACCTTCTGCTCCCAATTTATGGTATTTTTACTCAAATAAAATCGCAAATTACCAAGATCTGCGTACTCAAGTATCAGGTAAAGATCTGATTGTAGAATAATAATCAAGAGCAATAGATATATAGTACGTACATGAATTGTACATGAGTCAAAGTTCACATATAAAATTTACCTTTTTCGTCGCTAGATATCGCAATTTGAGAGAAACTTACAAATTTTAACAAAAATGACATTCATTTTGCGATATGTTGATGTAAGTTAAAATTTACATGATATCGTTACCTTGATACACCATAAAATTTGATTACATTTTCATATCCTATGAGAGATGTTTTTCCTTTATTTTCTCCATTCGTTATACCTGAATGTACCAATCCAATATTATGAAAAGCTTTAATCTGCACAATTAAATTGAACGAGAAAAAATTATATTAGCATATAAATAAATTAGCTGACACGTCGGCCTTACCTCTTTAATGAACTCATCATTGTCTGAATTTGTTTCTTCACTAATTGCTACTGTCTTCAAAACGACAGTTAAATTATTTTCTATCAATTCCGCTTTTGTAATGACCCCAGAACCTCCAGCTTCAAGGAATTCTCCTTTATTAATCTTATTCCAACAGATGAAATCTATTATTTTCTCGTTACTAATCCTCTTAATATAAGCTTCTTTAGTTTCTTTATGACCACGCCTAGTTTTTGAATACTTGGTTTCGTTAGCCGTTAAGTAAGTTGTATTTTCATTCTCTGTCATTCTTTTAACTCGAATTTTTCAACTGAAGTTCTTAACTCCTTAATTTATATCCAGTCATTTGGTAAGCTTTTTTTATTTGTTATTATGCATTTTGTATTCTTAGAATTACTACTGTAAACACTTGATATAATTCACATTTATCGATTACTACTTTTATTTATTGGCATTTCAACAAAAGATATAATAGTTTAAGATTAGCGCAATTATATAACTACATACGCACGTACGTACTTCATATGATCCTAAACCTATATACTAGTGTTGTCACTGCTAAAAAAATAAATATAAGGCCCAATATACTGTATATATACTATTAGATAATGTAAGTTACGTGATATTGTTGATTAAGAACAAATATTGTACAATTTAGTACTGATAATGCAAATAAAATCGCTAACTCGTAAATAGTGCCCAGTTTTAATTATGATCTTCTTGAATTAGACTCACAGTACTAAGTAATAATTTTTTCTTAGATTGGGATGAATTTATAAATTGCTTTCCAGTATTGTTTTTATTAATACTCAAAGTATGTTTTGACGGCTTTGTTGTTTTTATTACTTTTTTTTACATAGGTTTGTTTTTTTACTACAGTAGCCCGATGGCATATATCTATAGATTTTATTCCGTAACTCACGAGATCGCCACCCCGGTAGCACCGACGGATTTTACTGATCGACAATTTGGGCAAAGTGCGATTAATTATTTTTTAAAAAAATGGTATACAAAAATTTAAATTCAGATTCAACGTCTAATTGTACCCAAGTATATGTATGTACGTACTTATCAATAACATCCCATGTGATTGACGACGCCTCATTTATTTAAAGTCATAAATATTACACTAGGGTAGTTTACGATTATAACGAAGCTTATATTATACTAAAATTTTGAAATATTGAGTTACGGTGTTTTTTAAAAAAAATCTGTTGGTGCTATTGGGGTACTTCCCTTCCTTCCTAATGGCTACTATGCAACCCTACCACTGGTTTTTCAATTCCTTCATTGGTTAATTACTAACCAACCTCGGAGTTCATAACCTATCATTGAGCATGATAATCTGATCTTTAACATACGAAGCTGTGTAGCTTTCACTTTCTGACATATATATTATAATAAACATCACAATGTGTGTACGCATACATAAACCGAGTCATTGTAAGGCGAATTGCTATTTATTCCACTCATTGTCTACAAACAAAATGGCATAATAGTTTAAATAGATAAACCTGTTTAATAACTGTGAAATAGAACATATATTCATATATTGATATATATAATGTATTCCACTGTTTATATCGATATGTGCTGAGAGAATTTTCGAAAACATGTATTGTTAGCGATCCCTTGTTGTTTGAGTTCCAATCTGGATAAATCCGTCATCCATTT